TCTTCTTGCTCCATGTTTCCAGCCAACAATGATCTTCAAAAATTTTAAGGCAATGTCAATCAATTATCTCTTTCAGCAACTTGCTATCCTGTCAATTATGATCTTCAAAACTGTAACTGCAACGCTGTCATCTTCTATCTCCTTGAATCATGTTCTTTTATTGACATTTTTTTTTCAAAAATAAAACAAACGTTTTCACAGTTTCTTCCACTTTCAGTAGCCCTTTGCTTTTCACCGGCGATGTCTCCTTGCTTGGGATTAAAAAAAAAAAATTATTATTTTCTGAAATGTCGTCGAATATGCACATTTTCTTAACAAGCACTGAAACCAACAGATGCATGCACACATCGGCTGACTATTTGTTGACTCTAATTTTCGCTTCCACTATTGAAATGTAAATCTTATGCAATTCCTAGATTAGATATCACCGGAAAAGGCAATGAAAGCTTTGATTTATTTGGCCCATAAAATATATAAACATTGGGAATGGCTTAGAAGTCTTTAGAAATCTGTGTTCAACCGGTCTTTTGAGCAATGATATTCATGGCATTTTGTATACATCATAAGTTGGTCACTCCTGCTAGAACATTGAAACATTTTACATTGCCTTATGCAGCGTTGGTTTGCTCGGTGTTTCCCATTAAAATACCATATTCACAAATTTGTATAACTGATGGTATTATCGGAAAAGTAATAAAACCGTAGACTGATTAATATTTACAGTTCGTCTGACATAAAACTCAATAGCTTCAATTTGTTGGAAAAGTTTTTGTGAAATAATAAACAATTAATTTATCCTTCAAAAATTGTTATTTAGTTTCAACGTGTTTTATTAAAGTTATTAGGTTAGTTCTAAAAAAAAACAAACAAAAAAAACTGCAGTTTGAAACTGATATGTCCCGGAAAGGGATATATTTGATCGAAGTATCTAAGCGGTTTTGGCTACTATAACCAAGTAGAATACGGTAGCAGTAATCGACTGGTACTCGTCGTAGTCGCAGGCAATAGGTGTTGACCAATAGGATAGCCAATGGCGTAGTCCAATGGGCGTCGTCATAGACTTAAACTCTGTCGTACCTACACGTCCGTCTGTATTTATGACGGACACCAGCCAATCATATTCCAGTGAGGGGGAAACACAGTTGTATGCATATTCCATTATATCATGATGTTATTTTTCAAACTCAGAAAATCACATTTTACTTCAATAACAAGGCAATAAATGTTGAATATTTCCACTCGATTCAGATGAACACTTACAATTATATAAAGGGATCGGAGTTATCTACCCCTAGTTTCTTTGTTTCTATTGTCGTTATGAGGATGCATGGTCGTGTTGTCCCTAATAAATAAAATAAGTCACCGCTTGTGTTAACACGGTACAACGTGTGTCTGTTTCCGTATTGAGTTTATCATCCTGTTTGGAACATGAAGTTGAATACCTGCATTCACACAAAACAAGGTATGTCTATGTTTGCTATCTAACTTGATGCATAAATTTCTAACAATAAAATCATTACCAATTGATCATCACCTATAATAAAACAAACAACACAGATATTATCATAACAATTATAAGTTTTTGGAACATTTAAATCTTAATATAGCGACCCTTCTTCTCAGTAACAGCTAGCAATCTATTATCCATTGCTTTTGTTAAATCTTTTACTTCAGCATGTTCAATTTCCGACATGGTCTGCTTTGCTACCATATTGTTTACTGCCTATCATTTAATTGTATCTTCACAATTGACCATAGATTTTCGATCGGATTTAGGCCAGAACTTGATGGTGGCCATTCCATTATCGTCTCTCCTGAAAAACTTTTATGCTAAAAAAATCACGTGTAACCTTAGATACATGAGGAGGAGAATTTTCGTTCATAAATATCATTTTGAATTAGCGATTCTGGAACTGGTACCATTCAAAGAAAGTCTCTGAAATCCCAATCTTTTATCGATTTGAATGGTCCAATGATATTTTGGTCAACAATTCTATCTTCCTTTAATCACAGGCACATCTGCATCGGATAAAATAATCCTTTGGCGCATCCATCAAGTCCATCGATGGTCACCCAAGATTCGTCCGCGAAAATCATTTTTCGTTAATTTTCATGTATTTTTTGGCCGTATTTTGACGGTTTAAAATATTTGTTTTTCCTGAGAGAAGTTTGCTTGCATTACTTGACAGATTTTCGAAGTATTCAGCACATTTTGTCCTTTTTCACACTCTCAACACTCTCAATTCCAGTCTGGTCAAAAGTAGATATTTGGCTATAACTCACTTTAGTTTGCGTTTCACTTGAGCTCTTGAAAGCCTTCTGTTTGTTTCTCGTTCTCAATTTAGTTATATTTTCAAGACTTCTTTATTGTTCGATGATCTCTGCAAAGCTCATTTGATATCTCCAATGTGGACATTCCGTTTGTTATTTTCTGCTTTTCAGCAGTTGTTAGATCCTTCCCTTTACCCATGTTTCATATATATATATATATATATATATATATATATATATATATATATATATATATATATATATATGGAAAAAAAAGAGAAAATTATTATTAGATTTCAGAGGTCTTAAACTAATATTAGTTTAATCTACATAATAACTTCGGGTTGCAGTTTTTATAATAAATCCAATAACTAATAATTATCCAATAATAAAACATGTTGAAACTACCTAAAAATTTAACTCTAGCTTTGTTTTAACGTCTGAATTAATCGTTTAAAATTTGACAGAAAAAATTTCAAAGCAAATTCAAGTTATTGAGGTTTATATGATTGTTCTGATTTAATGACTTAACACGAATTGTAGTTAAATTCAGTAGCGGCTTGAATTGAGAAATTGGAGAGCCGAGTTCGAATTCCAGTCGAATCCATTACATTCACTTATAGCTAATATCTTTGGGAAAGTTATGAATCCTCCTCTTCTCCCCCCAGTTAAGAGTAAATAGCAGGACAAACCGGTTTCTATAGCCTTGGATGGCAACTGGTCTACCGCAGAAAGAAATGGCAAACTGTGGGAAAAATCTGCCTCGTCAGTCATGTATCGAAAGGTACAGGATCGCTTAAACATGGTACATAACTGACTGAAATTTTTTAAAAAATACATACAAATAAGGTCGGATTAAAAAAATTGTAGCAAGAAGAAAAAATGTCGGATCAAAAAATCCATTGTAAAATCACTGTGATATTCGGAGAGTTAAGATGGCTGAAACATACTGCACATCTCTTTCAGAGGAGGGGAAAAATAGTTCCCTATTTGCATCAGTTTGGGCTGTTTTTTTCCACCCGTCTCTATTATAATAAAATTTACTACAGATCATTCGTCCATACATTGACTAGTGATGCCACATCTGGTTTGGTGTTTTTGTAATGTATCTACAGGGTCTTGATAAAATCCAAAGAATCTGAAAATATTATTGGTCCTGACCAGACATTCACTCTGTTTCCCAACGCAGTAACATAGCTTCCTTGTGCTTTTTCTATAAATACTTTCATAGTAATAGTTTTGATGAGCTTTCGTCTATGGTATCTAGATTGTATGTATTTAAGTGCAGGTCTCATCATTTTACAGTTGAAATGGCTAGATGTAACCGTAAGTTCTATGCTGACAGTTTCTTCTGTCGCACTTATCGCTTGTGGAACTCTCTTCCGGTTTATTGCTTCCCTTCCAACTTTGATCTTCAAAAATTTAAATGCAATGTCAATCGTTATCTTGTGTCTTCATAATTCTTATTCTTTTATTGTCATTTCTCTTAATAGTATTTTTTTTCTTATATTAGCCAACACTCAGTAACCAGTTGCGTTTTAGTAGCTCTATTGCCTTGCTTGGAATGAAACTATTAAGAAAAAGCAGTGTACTCTGTAGCTTTTCCCGGCTATTCCACTTGTCTGAACTTTAATCACAGTAACTGTAGATGAAACGCAATATTTTGTTAAGAAACAACCAGCCGTCGTCGCATAGACTTCTCAAATAGAAGATATATTTCCTCTACAATTTTGTTTACTTTATAAAGATTCCGAAACAAATTCAGTGTATGCTACGACGGTTATTATATTTCCATGGGAAATAAAAATAGGTTATCAAGGGGCGTAATTTATTATACTGTGCGTAGCAATTATTGCAAACGCCTGTTTACAAGACGATACATGTCATTACCCTAAATATTTTAAGGCTTTCGGTTATATGACGTTCAAACCCCGGTCGCTGTACGATCACTGAAATTAAGCAAAGTCGTGTCTCGTCAGTACCTAGATGGGAGAACAGCTAGGGAATACCAGGTGTTGTAAGCTTGGATATGCGGGTGGTGCAATGGATAATGACTCGGAATTGTTAATCGAAGAGCCGAGTTTCAATTCCCATTGGGTTCATTATATTCACTTACGCGTAAATACCCTTGAGAAAGGCGTTATAGACAAGCGTATGGTTGCAAGAAAGAAATACGACAACAGTAGAAATAGATTTACGTGGTTTATTTCAACAGGAACGTGAGGGTTTGGGACAGCTACCTTGTGGTAAAGTTCATAAGCCGGCTTTCGGATCTGGTCAATCTCTCATAGTAGTTCACACATGTTGACGGTGGTTGATGCTCTCCTGCTGCTGATCACTCGGCCTGACCGTGACGGTCTGTTCACTGGCCACTGGTTGACTGCCTGTTGAACTTCCGTGGGACCCCTTTTATAGCGTTTTTTTATGGCTTAACAGGCTCGAAAAACGAAGCGAGTATAATTAGAAGGGAAGCATTTTTATTGGACGAAAAATAGAGTACTTGAAATATTATTTTATTTTTCGACCGGAACACGTGTGTCGGGAACATTTGTAAAGAAAGATAATGGTCATTTTGTGACGGGGCTTTGTCCCGTTTACATCCGGTTCTCGCTCTTGAGTATTTGCCTGTAAATCAGCCGAGATATGTCTTATTTTATCTTATAACAAAGGTATGGATCCTGTTATGGGGACCTACCTTCATGGACAAAATAGACTCGTCTTATGACTATATGCCTCGCAAGAGGACTTTGACGAAAGACGAGTTGACTACTGTATTTAGCCGTCAGACGGACGTGCAACACTTCTGTATTCGTTCTTTTTGTTAATAATACTTTTTCACTGAATTGCTGAGTTCGAGTTTTCTTTCGGACCTCTTCCGGGTCCACAACAGATCCATCGCACCCACAAGCTATGGTTTAATTAGTAATTGTATCACTAAACGTTTATTATTTTCAAAAAGATTCTTACAATCTAAAATATTTTCTGGCTTTATAAAAATCAGCAAAGGGTTGATAAACCGTAGAAAAAGAATAAATCAGTGACTTATTGCCTCGAGTCTCCCCTACATCCGTGAGGAAATTGTTTCACACTCCCAGGCGTATAGGAGTATTAAGCAGAATTTTCTTTTCTTTTTTTTATAACGAAATTTTCCTATCTTAATATTTTGTTTCGCTTTTGGAAGGCATCTTTTCTATTCCAATTCGCCTCCAAACAAAAAGTCCTCTGTTATAACACTTTCCAGATATCTAAATGTTTGTACTTGGTTGATTTTGACATCCCCACTTTTTAGCTCACATCTTGGGCTGCCCCTTTTGCTAGTGACCATGCACTCTATTCTTACAATTGTTGGTTATCCCTTTCTTTTCGCTTACCTTTACCACATTGTCTACATATTCCCGATGTTTTCCTTCTATATCTACAATCAATACAGATAAATATGTATATAGTACGCTGCTAAAGTTGTGTCTATTAATAATAAATCCTGGTATAACTACTACTCTTCAGATCTCCTAGTTGTATAGGTTTAAATATGGTTTTACTCTTGCACTATTTTGTGTCACCTCAATAAATATTTCAAAAACGAATTTTAAGAGTTAAAATACCCAGAATACTGCGAATTTAAACTAAATGTAAGGCATTGGTGTTTAATACTTTTTTCGCCCACAGTGTTTAAAAATTTACCCTGCCTCGAAGATTTTTGTAAGTTTTCAATGACTAAAAACACTAGATTTAATTTTAAAATGTAAGGCAAGTTAAATTTATTTACACTAAAACCTAGACTTTGAGTTGGGGTAAGTTTTTTAAAACTAAAACTCCTAATTATTTAAATTATTCGGACTATTGACCTCATCTTTGTTGCCATATTTATCACAACGTTTCGGCCGTTGTACGCTCTGGCCTTCTTCAGGCGGTTGGAATGTCGAACCGAACCCTTTTTTTCGCTCACCGGGGTAGACTGTTCTAGTTCCACGTGCCATGTTTGATGGATGTCAGTTATCAGTTATCTCCTGTTAATTTCCCTCTGAAAGTTCTCCACTGCCTTAACCGGGTATTGAACTCACACTCTTTGGGTCTTGTCACTGGATCTAACTAGCGCCTTTATCCACTGTGCCATGTGTCCTTGACAGACTCCTAATTATTTCTATTCGAACTATTGTCCTCATCTTTGTTGGTGTTATCACAACGTTTAGGCCGTTGTGCCCTCCCACCTCAATCAGGTGTATATCGATCCATGTAACCTACAGGGAATGCCAAACTGAACCCTCTATTTAATCTACGGGAGTAGAATGTTCTCGTTTCACTGCCAACGTCGCATGGTATCTTGTTTAGTTCTTATTTCTAGTATTTCTCGTTTATTTCTCGCCCTGTAAGTTACCCGGATCGATATATTCAGGGAATTACGAACTGAACTCGTTATTTAATATACGGGAGTAAACTGTTCTCGTTTCATTGCCAATATCTCGGGATATCTCGTTTAGTTCTTATTTTTAGTACTTCTCGTTTATTGCTCGCCCTGTTTACACTAAGTGGAACGAGAATAGTGGCAATTTAAATAAAGAGTTCAGTTCAAAATTCCCTGGAGGTTTCTCGGATCGACATACAAGGAGAAAAAATAATGTAATTGTAGTCACTGCAAAAGGAGAAATATACAAACGGTGTGAGAAGGACCCACGAGTATGATTTTTGTAGTTCAGATATTTTAAGGCTGCCAGGAATTTGATCCAGACATTTCTTTAACGCCCCAATAACAACAAGTTGTTGTTTTGAGATGGCACATTCTACTGATTTCTATCCTGAGATCCTTGTAATTTTTGCTGACAAAAACACATTTTCTTATTGGATGATTTATCTGTGAATAATCTTCGTTGAAGAACAACTCAGTTCTAATTCTTTTTAAGCTAACGAAATTATAAGGTGGCTAAAAGGGTTATAATAATTATTATTTTTTCACTCCGATATATTTTATCGCATATACATTTGCTAATCGTCTGGTCACCTCAAACAGATTTCTTTTTTGTCAGTTTTTAGCCATCCGTACATTATTATCGTTTATATGAGCATAAATTTAATCGCTTGAAAAAATTATCCCAATGTGTTGACAGGCATAGACACTAACGGCAAACATAATATTGTAATTTACTTTAAGCCAAAGATAACATATATTTTGTCAAAATTCAGTTAATTAGTCAATAACTTAAATAATTTCTTCGATGTCCAATTACTGTAGATTTTTAATTATATTACCTTTGATACGTCATCAACAATGCGTAATATTTGGTTTAATAGTAAAAGTACTGTTGCGTTGCTAAATATATATTGGGCGACTTTGGTATTATCTGGTCGTGTTAAATAGATTATTACCTAATCATTTATAATTAACAAAAAAGAAATAAAGACGTTTAGGGAAAACGTGAAAGGTTTTATTTTCCATAAGGAGAATGAGAATATTTATTTTTTTAGAAAGAGAAAGAGAACATGCTAATAAATATAGAAATGTATTACATGCCTTCTCTTCTACCCTGAAAAGAAAAGCTAGTGGATGTTACAAATGCTGTATTTACTTTTAAGTTCTGCAAGTCATGTGGCCGAAGGTAAAAGATACGTGGAAAGTTTTTTGCTGTTCCCATCAACTTGGAGTTGTGAACAAGGTTTATGTAGCAAGAAGGCAAGAACATAATAGTTAACTTTTGACAAAAAGAGGTTAAATTGTACCAAGAGCCACTCAAGGTAGAGGCCTACCGTGTGATTTTATGTGAACGTAAGTGAAAGCAAGAAAATAACGATTATCCCTTGACAAGAAGAGGTTAAATTGTACCAACAGCCACTCAATGTAGAGGCTTACAGTGTGGTTTTATATGAACGTAAGAGAAGGCAAGAAGATAACGATTATCTCTTGACAAGAAGAAGTTGAATTGTACGAAGAGCCACTCAACGTAGAGGCTTACAATGTGGTTTTATGTGAACGTAAGAGATGGCAAGAAGATAACGGTTAACACTTCTGCCAGATCTAACCTTCACCGCTAGGACCTTCCATGGCACTTACATAGTAGCAAACCACGCACACACACACCCCCTGTATTCCATCGGCGAGAAGTAAGTTCCACTCAAACAGCTTCTTCCCACGAGTCACTGCTCTGTGGAACAGACTCCCAAGAGGACGTTTCCCCGATCATTACAATCTTGGCCTGTTCAACTGTTAATCGTTATCTTCCCCTCTTACCCATATAAACTACCCCTTAATGTAACCCTCTACCTCAAGTTGTCCCCAGGACTTCTATAGATTGAACCTTACTGTAAAAAGAAAAAAAAAGAAAATGTTATATTGTAGAATTTGTTAAATTGAAGGCTTGCATATCTAACATGGTGGACTGCAGGTGCAATGATCAGTGCCGGGGCTACCAATAAATCTAATACATGAGAACCCTTGTCATGGAAATAACGATAGGGTAGCATTTTGGCATTTAATTTTGTTTTTAACATTGGATCTAGATTGAATGTTGCATTATAATTCAATACTCCGACCGACCATTCCAATAAAATAAAATAAAATAGAATGAAAATAAAAACGGTAAATCACATGCCGAACATTTGGTAACGACAAGGAATATGTGCGGATACTACATCCGTTTAGTTGACTTGGCCAGATTGGTTTCCTTTCAAATGCTTTCAGCTGTCACCAATTATTGAGCTTGTTATCGGGACTAACAGATTTGCTTTCCATTTCAAAGCTTCTCACAGTTTTTGTTTTAGAAGACGATGATAGATATGACATTTTGTGACCTCGTAACGCAATAAAAAAAAAGAAAAGAAAGATTAACGGGTCTGCTTTAAGCAAGAACCATCATTTCCGACGTCAGGCTTTTGGCAGGTTTTAGAGATCTGTGTTTGTTGAAAAAAATTGAATAGAAATAAAGATATTCAATGTAATTGATACTGAATTACGATGAGACTTGTGTACATATTGCATCTATTTAGAAGAATTTTTTTTTTTTTGATGCGTATGTATGGGAACGTGCGAATAGTGAGACGGTTAACGGAACGGTGTGCGGAATCTGCGAGCTGACGTCAAATTCCAACCTAGTGTTGCGCTCCCTTTCGCAGAAATGACCCTGGGAAATGCATCCAATCTTCCTGTATGACTGTAGCGTAATTGGTCATGGTTAAATGTAATTGGCAGAAATTCCCAACAAACAGAACTGCCAAAGTTTGCAATAAACAATAAGAAGAGAAAGAAAAGAGAAAAACAAACAAAAATAATATTAAGCAAACAATATATGCAAGGCAAAAACAAAAGAAATAAGGCAAAGAAACATCAATAAGGCAAAAAGTTAACAAACTGAGAATGGTGTTAACACCCAAAAGGAGATAAAGACAAGAGATCAAAGTGTTCTGGCTTCAAGGAAAGCAAAAGCAGGTCTAAGTCCGATGAGATCGAGAAGTGGCCTATATCTTATTGGCTAGGAAAAAGTCCCAGCATGCATCTTTGTCTATGAATTTGGGAAGTGGATGTTTTTTCAGCCATTCCCAACAATAACTATGTATTAAATAAGTGGGTAGATCGTGTTCTCTTGCCTTGGATAGGACGGTTCATTAAAAAAAAAAATATGAAAAAGTTCTAAACCGTGGAAACGGGAATGAGAAACAACACGACTATCTTTCCCCAAAATTTCGAAATAATGAAGCTAAAGCGACCCGTGTAGAGTTCTAATCATCTATATCGTGAAAGAACGACATTAAAAAAAGAAAAAAGAAAAAGATCGGACAATAACGTGTGAAATTCGCAAAAGGTGACTAAAATGAACGTTCTTCGATTATATCATTTTATTGACGAAAACGATGGAGCCTAATTTACAGAAATAACAAATAAGAAAAAAATTAAATAATAAAATTTACGAATTAGGCTATTTGTTTTAGTTAGAATTTTTTCTCGAGCGCACATATCTGCACGAAGCCTATCTTAACGTAAACAAATGACATCGTATATTATGAAATGGTCTAAATCTGACAATGAAATGTGTGTATGTGTATTTGCGTGTATGTTTTAATATATATTTTATTATATATATATTAAAAAGTAGAGAAGAGAGCTGCTGCAATGTTTTTGGTTGTAATGTGGATTTTTTTTTTGATTATGAAAAACATAATGAAAAACATAAGGAAAAAATAATTATTTTTAATAATATGTGGAAATCTCCGCTTTTACCTGAAGACGGTCACGAGACGAGAAACACGTGTAGTAAAATTATGGAAAATAAAGCATAATATTTTTTTATAAAAAAAAATCCACATTAAAACCAAAAACGTTTGCGGCCCTCTCTTACACACTTTTCTCTCGTTCGAACCACTATAACCTCTTTCTTTTATATATATATATATATATATATATATATATATAAAAGTGAACATAGAAGTCAACACTTAGAAGCGACAGTCTGTTTCATGCTATATGCAATCGTCAGGCCACATATGCTGTTATTTTTCTCGGCTATTTATATATACGGGTTAGTGGTGCATTGTGGGTATTCTATTATGGCGGTTATTTTACCGGAAGTCGTTTGTTTATTTATTTGGGTCAAATTATATTGCTCGTTTTTATTTTTTTGTTTCTTATTTTATTTATTTATTTATTAACGTAGTAAAAATTTGTTTATATCACTTATTTAACAGTTTTGTTTTGGTTTGAGAATTTAATTGAAGCTATTTTTCAATTTTGGGGGTTGGTTGTTGTAGTTCATTCTAACTATTATTTTGGCGGGAGCATATATGCCTGACGATTTCATATAGCGTGAAACAGACTGTCGCCTCTAAGTGTTGACTTCTATGTTCACTTTTATATTTACACACGCTCTATCTCTGATATTGAGCACTTTATTCCATAAATATAGCACACCTTAAGACTATATTTCTTTTATATATATATATATATATATATATATATATATATAGAGAGAGAGAGAGAGAGAGAGAGAGAGAGCGTTTTTATTCAGCACCTGACGATTGTATTGTACGAAATTCAGAGTTGTGCTACCGGTGACAAATTTGTATATTTTTATTATTATTATATATATATATATATATATATATATATATATATATATATATATGACTTTTTAAAGATAGAGTGAGATTAAAGTTCTTTGAAATACGTACTTTTTTTTTTTACTCAGAACATTGTCCTCAAATTAAGGATACCATTTTTTACCCTATTGCGGCTCATATATTTATATTCTGATATATTATAGTCTTATATTCCGAAGAAGAAGGCGCTATTCATCTTTCATCTTGGTTGTTATAACGAAACGAAATTTTCCAAATGTAATCTTACTTATTTGCCCACCATTTTCAGCTGAGTTAAAAACCCGTCATGGCTTTTTGGGACAACACATATATACAAAGGCTGCATTGTTCCAAGGAACACATGAAATGGCAATACTTTGAATTCACTTTTATTACTGGATTAGTTTTGCGCAAATTCTTCCCGAGTGTCCTATAAAATGATACCGCAGACTATCTTATTATAATTCTGCTGCTTTCTTCTTCCCCATTTTCGCTTCTTCCCTTCTTTCGTTTCTTCCCTTCTTTCTTCTTCCCTTCTTTCGTTTCTTCCCTTCTTTCTTCTTCCCTTCTTTCGTTTCTTCCCTTCTTTCTTCTTCCCTTTTTTCATTTCTTCCCTTCTTTCTTTTTCCCTTTTTTCTTCTTCCCTTCTTTCGTTTCTTCCCTTCTTTCTTCTTCCCTTTCTTCATTTCTTCCCTTCTTTCTTCTTCCCTTTTTTCATTTCTTCCTTTCTTTCTTCTTCCCTTCTTTCTTCTTCCCTTCTTTCATTTCTTCCCTTCTTTCTTCTTCCCTTTTTCATTTTTCTTCCTTTCTTTCTTCTTCCCTTCTTTCTTCTTCCCTTCTTTCATTTCTTCCCTTCTTTCTTCTTCCCTTCTTTCGTTTCTTCCCTTCTTTCTTCTTCCCTTCTTTCGTTTCTTCCCTTCTTTCTTCTTCCCTTTTTTCATTTCTTCCTTTCTTTCTTCTTCCCTTTTTTCATTTCTTCCCTTCTTTCTTCTTCCCTTTTTCTTCTTCCCTTCTTTCGTTTCTTCCTTCTTTCTTCTTCCTTTCTTCATTTCTTCCCTTCTTTCTTCTTCCCTTTTTTCATTTCTTCCTTTCTTTCTTCTTCCCTTCTTTCTTCTTCCCTTCTTTCATTTCTTCCCTTCTTTCTTCTTCCCTTTTTTCATTTCTTTCTTATTTAGCATGTAAGTTACGCCCTGCTAATGCCTCATAAATAATGGACCATTACGTTTTGATTTCGTTTCAATGAAAAAGAGAAAGAAAGGGAGAGAAATAGAGATGACGATAAAGCTCTAATGAGCCATTACCCTCTTACTTCTTTAAATAATGACCTGCTTTGATACTTCTGATTGTTATTGCAATATTTTGTTAATCATAGAACTCGCAATAAACAACGAGAAAAAGGAAGAAATAAAGACAGACGATAAAGAAGATGATAACTCTATCTCACGTCTGCGTCAGTGAAATGGAAAACCTTGTCAATTATGAAACTTTATAATTGTACCATCTTACTTCTTCAGCGACAATTTTTATAAATTGTTAGGCTAAAATATTTAATGATCCAATAGTGGAAATTCCACGGGTATTTTATAATCGTGAAACTAGCCATGAGCTCATTTTATCATTAACAATTCATCAGAAAACATGTCTTGTAATGTATCATTTGCATATCTTAAACACCCTTGCAGTGTGATGGGAGGCTTCATCAATGATTACTTACCCTATTTATATTCGGACTGTTGTCCTCATCTTTGTTGTTTTTTTTTTATTACAACGTTTCGAGCGTTGTATTCTCCGGCCTTCCTCGGGTGCGTATCTATGTGGGTGACCTACAGGGAATTCTGAACTGAATACGTCATTTATTCTCCGGGGGTATCGTGTTCTCGTTCGACTGCTCATGTCTCGGAATATCATCCAGTTCTTATTTTATTTAACACTTGTTCAGTTATTGCGCGCCCGTTTCCAGTGAGTGGACCCATAGATTGAACACAGAACCATAATGTCACCAAATTCCAACGCTTTTATCCACTAGGCCACTCTCCCGGTAATAATGTAAATAATGATAACTCCTCGTCCCAGAAATTCAGAGAAAAAAAATCATCAATGGTGTTTTATTCCTAGTATTATTGGCTGTTTCAAACTGTTAAACCTTTTAAACACGTCCTCCTCTTTCAATCGAAGTGACCAGGAGCGGTTGAAGCCATAACATTTGTCCTGAGTTTACATTAGTTTGGAACTGGCTTGGTATTCAATCAATTAAAATTGATGTCTGCAGTTACTCCGGTCTTGCAACAAATGGTTCCCCACCAATTGGAAGCCATCAGAACCATCCAGATTAAGTTTAAACATCCTTCTACTTTTCTATGTCCCATGTTTTTCGCTTCTCAGCAAAGTTTTGTCGAGCTGTTCTGTGGTTTGGAAGGAGACGTTTTCGTTTTTTAAAGCCTTTCTCTTGGAGATGCAGTCTTATTGTTCTCGAGCTGCATTCTGAGTCCTTAAGGGCCTTAATCTGGTTCGATGACCGGCTGGTATTTTGCCGGACAACCCGTCGAATCCTCCTGCTCAACGCCGAACCCATTTTCTCGAGCCGAACGCTTGAATTTCTCGTTCCGTATCCCTGAGAGTCTTTTAAGAAATTTGAAACAGCTGTTTTACTGCTTCCAATCTCACGAGCGATGGCAAGTTGAAAGAGGCCTTATTTTGCAGCTGGACAAATTTTACCACGTTCAGATTGCTAACTTTTTAGCTTTTGCCATTTTTTTTTTTACCTGACGTAAAGCAGGAGATTACCAGTGGCGGATGTTGACTGCGCTAATGCTTGAACATAAATGACTAAATTCACTTTCCTGATTACCAATTAAAAATTCGTTTAAACAGTGATTTTCTAAGCCCGGCTTAGATGTGGCACAAGGCCGAAAGTATGGGCCACCCAGTGAGGATCGAACCCAATACTTAGTCGTAATTGATCTAGCAAGACAAGCTTTTTAACCATTACACGGCGTCGAGGTGCCTAAAGATTCGTTTAAATATGGTCTTAAACAAAACATCTAGCCTAATTTCCTAGTAGTCAGTTTTTCCCTGTTAAATGTTAAAAAAAGTTTTTCATTTTTACTTTCCTTCTTTTCAATTTTCGAAGCTCTACTGATGTAAATTGTTAAGTCTAACAGCGCAAAAGATTTTCTTTAATTTTCATTGGCTTTAAGATTTTGGTTAGCAGTGTATAGCTGTGTCTCGATAGGGATTTTTATGCTCGAAAGAAAATTCTGATGAAATTTTACCTGCATAAGGTATGATGAAGAATAGATTGGAGGCACACAAAGAGGTGGTTCTACAGAAGGATGCTGAGAATAACATGGACTGAATATATAAACAACGAGGAAGTTTTCAGGAAATAGAATGGGCACTTACTCTTCGAATCAAAGACAGTTCGCATTTCTTGAATACATAATGAGGAAATCAGGCTTGGAGAATTGGATATGGCGTGAGGAGAATATCTAACAAATTCACCAGAAGGGGGCAGGCATGCGACACAAGGCAATTGTGGTGAGCCATGATCGTCAACGTACTGAATACGGCATATAGAAGAAGATAAAGAAGGAGGAGGAGAAGAAGAAAAAGAAGAAGAAGAAGAGCATATGAGCAACAAGGAAAATGGAAAGAACCTTATACTTCAGTTAGTTATGTGCCATGCGTGTATCACACATGCGTGATACACCCTTAGGCGATCATGTATCTTTCGAGTTTTGATATATGACTGACGAGGTAGATTTTTTTCCCGAAGTAGGTTGCCATTTTTTTCTGCGGTATACCATTTGCCATTCATGTCTATAGAACCCAGTCTGTCCTGCTGTTTACCCATAACTGGGGGTAGAAGAGGATTCATACTTTTCCCAAAGGTATTAGAACGTAAGTGAAAGTAATGGATTCGACTGGAATTCGAACTCGGCTCTCCGATTCCTCAATCCGAGCCGCTAGAGTTGAATTTAAAGTAAAAAAAAAAAAAAGCTTCGGATAATCTACGAAAGAACAAGAGAAAGCAAAGAGGGAGAAATACAGAATCGAGGAAAAAGAAATAGCAACAAATGTGAACCAGAAAACATCATATGCGATGTGTATCTCGACAGTGACTGAGGATAAAACATGTGCACGCTTACTATAACTTTGGTGGCGTAACAACGTGTCCCAAAGGAAATGGCTGTCGGCATTTGCGCACATGAGAAAAGAAAGTCAAACCGCTTTTTCTCCTTTTTTTCTTCTTTTCATTTTATCCTTTATATTTGTTTTTTTTTTTTTTTCTTGGCTTTTGTGGGGTTTGCTTTCTGGTAGGTGTGTAATTCTGGGAAGAGGAAGCCACAAGGGAATACCGAACAATGTAAAACAATAATTTCTTAATTACTATATGTCATAATGTTAATTCATTTATGCAGTTAGTAATACACGCACATATGTAAAAAAAAACCCGTCTCTCTCTCTCTCTTCCTCTCTCTCAAACAGCGCACTGAACCTTACAAACATAAACAGTAAGTAGTTCTAAAGCATAAAAGAGAGAAATAACCGAGAAAGACCCTTTTCACAAAGCAATATTAAAGGAACTATAAATACGTGGTTGATATTTTATTACTGTTTCGAAGTGTGTTGATTGCATCATTAGAACATTAAAAGATTATTAATTAGAAAGATTCTTGGAAATTTCATGCTTTTTCTATTTTAGTTTTCTGATGAATCTTAATTTTTAAGTTAATTATTGAATAAGCTCATGGCGAATTCTGTGATGATAAAATATCTATAGAAATTCCTCTATCGCCTCGTGAAATAGTTGAGCTTAACAACTTTAACAAATTATTGTAATAGCAATCATAAATATGAATGCTGGCCGTTATTTTAAGAAGTAAGGGGGTACAAATGAACAGATTTGAAATTTGACACCTTTTGTTATCTACAAGCGATAAACACTTATTTGTTTTTTTCTTTCATTGTTCATTTTCTCACTGAAACTAAGCAGCGTCCTCGATATGTGTTTTTTGTCTTTCCACGCGATCAAAATGGAATAGTCTATTACTTATGAGATATTAGTAGGGCGTAACTATTTCTTTCTTTCTTTTACTGAAACCAAGAAGAGCCTTTGGTGTGTCATTTCCGCCTTTCTACGTGATCACAGCGCAACAGTTTATAATTTATTGGCAGGATGTAACGGTCAATTCTGTCTGTCTTTCTTTCTTTCATTTTCTTACTGAAACCAGGTAGCGTCTCTGATATGTCTTTTCCGTCTTTCCATGCAATCAAAACAGAAATAGTCCATTATTTATGAGATACTGGCAGGACTTAAGGTACGTACATGCTAAGTGATTAAGAGAGAGACAAGCAAAATTACAATATATTCACGAAGATGTGACAATAGTTTCCCAGTACTCGGATCTATTTTTTCCCTTTTTGACTCATTTACTATGTCTATCTTTTCACACATGTCCAAACCGGATCTATATCTATGCATCTATTAATTCATTATGTTATTTGTCATTTAAAATGTATCGTCATCATTAAATAAACAAGGGATGATAATATCGTTTAATAAAACAACCAAAGCTGACCAAATTCTTTTTATGTCTTTATTATATTGTCCCTATTATGGACACGTGACCGAGTGTTTAGAACCTTCGCATTCTGACCATGAGATCCGGGTACGACTCTCACCATGTTCAATTTGTCAGGAAAGAGACGTGTTATCGGACTGGAGGGGTTGATCCCAGGGTGCAGCACATTTAGAAAGTGTCTGAAAACCATACCACGGGTTGACCCAAGCCTTGTGAGTGAAATTGGGTTGACGGAAACCTTGAGGGTCGTCGATAGCTGTGCTAACACGAAGTCACAAGTCATCGTGGCCGAGGGCTTGAGCATGCTGGCTTTGTCCGAATTGTTGATCACTCTAGATAACACGCTCTTTCCCAGAAACTGTAACTAAGGTCTGCTCAGCATAGTTGCAGTATAAACTACAGGTGGGCTCTGTAGGCGTTGAATAAGCACAAATGCGCCTGAGCAATTGTCTGCAATAGGGATTGGCTGGCCGCCCTATTCGACCGGTATCCTCGAATATGAGTGGCCAGCTATACATACATGCATATTGTCCCATTACTTTTAACATTTAAACTCCGCAAAAATTCTTCAAATCCATATTTCCTATACAGGCACCAATGCATAAGAATGGCCACTTAATCACAGCAGCTCTCGTATTCTTCCTGCGCATCATTATTATTATTATTGTTATTATTATTCATTTCACCCCACGCGAGGCAATATAGCCACTAATTCATAAGGGGTTGCTGAGTGTAAAAGAATAAAAAAAAAAGAGAAACATTATTAAGGAGCGAGAACAATAGAAGAGTAATGAAGACAGTAGATAATAATGTACATTGCATTTAAATTTTTGAAATTCAAACTTGGCTGGTAAGCATTCAACCGGAAGTGAGTTCCACAAGCGAGAAGTGCGACAGAAGGAACTGTCAGCATAGATCTTACGGTTGCGTCTAGCCAGTTCAGTTGTAAGTTCAATCTAGTACTGCGCTTAAATTAATAAAAATCTAAGTACCATTGAGCAAAGTTCATCCGAACAATTATCAGTAAAGTGTTTATAGAAAAGACACACGATGGGAAAGTGACTGAAGCCGAGACGCCAGATCAGGACCAATAATATTGCTGATCTTTCTTTGGATTTTATCAAGAATCTTTAAATATATAGCAGGAGCACCGGACCATATATAGCAGCAATATTCAAAGTATGGAAGAATGGTAGACTTATAAATATGTAAAATAGATTCTGGAGAGATTATTATTATTATTATTGTTTTAATTTCATGTATTAATACGTTCGCACGATATCACATAGGGATCATTACTGACGACAAGATAATCACCTCAAATCTACAGCACCTTCCTCAGTATTCACGCAGATTCCAGCAACACCCTGGCCTATACAGTTTCCCCTTTTCTTCGAATTTCTTATTCATCCAATCTCGACTGCAGTGTTTTTGAGACGGCAAATTTTCCCGATTTCCCGAAGAATAATTACATTAAGCTGATATCCAAATCATAATTTTAATACAAGCCCAAAATGACCTCCTTAATTGAAAATGAAAATTGGCAAAAATAAGCCAACAATCTATAAGGATTCTTGTCCATGCGTTATTCACCTCGGGTTTCTGAAAATGGATAGTTCCCTGAAGTCTGCCTTCAACAACAACTGAACTACAGCTGCGTCACACCGCGTGCTACCCACTTTCCCTGAATCGGGATAACGGTGGTGAGGGGAGAAAAACAAACAAGTTTTAAACTCGGAATTACAAGTACATTAAAAATCTTGGGCTAACAAAACACATAATGTGACTAAGGGTTAAATTTACTTTATCATATATCTACTCTAATTATGTTAATACACGAATGATTTGTATATATATTTATATATTGTATAAATTTATATATTGTATATATATATATATATATATATATATATATATATATATATATATATATATATATATATATATATATATATACAAGAATGATTTGTGAATATTAACCACAATGCAATAACACCTTGACACAAATTTCTTCCATTTTGGCATGAATATTGTTCTTGTCGGATTTTTTCTCCATAGAAACTTGGTATTGGAGAAGATTTTACAGCAACCTGACTTGAAGCGAATTTCAGAAAAATAAAAAGGGTGGTTGTTTTATTGATATAGATGTTTCACTTCTTATTTGCCGTTGCGATAACCTCAAAATTATTGCATTATATGTTCCAGGATCCACTTGAGTCATTCTTCAAACAAAAACTCACATCAAGCAAAGTTCATAATACTCTGATTGGGCTTCTTAACGAAAGCTGACAGCTCATTAGTCGTAACTTTTCAACGTGTGTAGTCTGCTGTTTTGATTTTTGTTTAAATAAAATTTAAAAAAAAAACAGAAGGAAAAAATCATATTTCGTACTTTTCCTTTTATTTAACAGTCTAAAAAAGGAAACGAAAATGTAAACTTTTCTTTATTGGTTAAAACTGACATCTGAAATAACATAAAGAGAAAAAAATATTTGGAAAAAAAGAGAAGTTATTGAGAAAGAACTGAAGCGAAAGTTGTCGAAACAAATAACGGGTGTGAAAGAAGATGTAAGGGAAACTGACGGTAATTAGAAAGAAAGAGGGAAAGAAAGAAACAGAGTAGAAGGTAAAACGGCAAGAAAACGGAAATAAAAAGAGAATAAAAGAACAAAAGTAGAAAGTAGAATGAAGAATAAGAAAGAAAGAAAGAAAGAAAGAAACAAAGAAAGAAAGAAAGAAAGAACGGAAGAGAAATATTCGAAATTAGAACGATAAATAAGAAAAGAAAGACAGAACAACAATAGAAAGAAAAAAAGAAAGAAAGAAAGAAAGAAAGAAAGAACAATAGTAGAATATAAGATGATAAATAAGAAAAGAGAAAGAAAGGAAGAATGAAATTAAAAGAAAAACAGTAGAGGGTAAAATGATAAATGAGAAAAGAGAAAGAAAGAGAAAAAGAACAGTAGAAAGTAGAACGCTAAAAAGAAAGAAAGAAAGAAAGAAAGAAAGAAAGAAAATAGTCATTGCGGAAAAGAAAGCAAAAATGAAAGAAATCACTTTAAATACAAAAAAGAAAACACGAGAAAGAATTTTCAGTATTTGAAAGAAAGAAAAATAAAGAGAACGACCAAGAACAGAAAATAAAACAGTAAAGAAAAAATTGTAATAAAAAAGTAAACTTGAAAGATAATTGCTGTAAATAAGAAAAAGAAAAAGGAGAAAGAAAAAGGAAGAAGAAAAAAATTTGCCAGAAGTTAAGAGTCGGCATCTGTTTTGCACTCAATTTCCTTCTAGCAGATGATCCAGCTTATATTCTATTCATCTTTGTTACGACTTCGCTTCCATATTATTGCAAACCAGATTGACCGCCAACCTCTCTACAAGTAGGTCATTGGCTTCCACCCCCTCATTAACTGATTTGTAGAGTCAATTAATCATGCGATGAGCAGACTGACATTAAATTGCCAAATAATCTCACAGCAGACAATATAAAACCCGCAAATGACCTTTTCTGTTACTCCTCTTGGAGTATAAAATGGTTACTCGTAAGCGTATTCTAAACTGAAGTGCGACAAAACTTAAAGACCGTAATACACTGGACTGGACAGTTTCTCTCTAGTGGATAATGAACGAGTGACATCGATAAAGAGGTAGTGAGGCTGTGGCAGTGTAGCTATGTAGTCTTTAAGCGAGGTGTAATTGTTAGGACCTAAAAAGGAGACACTTTATCCCCGAACTGCTTTAGATTTTCCGTGAGTAAAAAGTAACCAACTTATACTAGTATTACATGAATTCCGAACAGGCATCAGCATCATATAAAAACTTCCGGTGCTCCAAAGATGAAGCGAGAACGGGGCAATGATGGTAACAATACAACGAAGGGAGATATTTTTTCAAGTCACGTCCCAATTCAAAACTAGATTTTTTTTCCCATCAGTCAATACACTGCATGTACACTGGATTCTATGACGTTTCGTAGTCTTCGACCAATAAAAAACGAGGGAAAATCGCATGGACAGAAGAATTTTATAACATAAAGCTTGGACAGATGAATTATATATTATAGCTCATGGACAGACGAATAGTATACCATACCGCATGGACAGACGAATAGTATATCATAGCACATGAAGAGAAGAATTGTATACCATACGTCATGGATAGAAGAATTTTATATCATTGTCCAAGGACAGAAAAATTTTATATCATAGCTCATAGACAGACGAATCGTATATCAGTGTATGGGCAGAATAATATTGTCATAACACTTTATTAAATAAAATGCTACCAATTTAAACAGTTTAGAGTAGTATTAAAAATTATTAGTCCTTATAATAGCAATGATAATAACTATCACTGCTATTGGTCAGGACAAACTTTACGAGTATTAATTATGGCTTGTGTACTTGGTGAGGCTTCTTTCGCAATAAATTAAGCAGCACTTATTTCGGTTAACCGCATTACTTAGAACGATTACTTAGCTACTTAGATCGATTACTTCGCTCTATGTAAATATAAAAAGTTACAATTGGCCACAATATAAGTGCCTGATGTCTATAAAAATGGACTGTTGATTATTTATATCTTATTTGTTTAACTACAGCACTGACTATGGTTTAAGTCATGTAGCAATAATTGTATGGAAATTGATGCACTAAAACATGTAATCAAATAATTGTTTTAAGTTATCTGATTATATGTGCCATTTTTTCCTCTAAAATGTATATCAACTACACTTTTAAATTATAGTGTTTAAAAGTAGTGGTGAGTAATGTAGATTACAGATAAAATTCGGTTTTTGCAGGTGTGCCATATACAGATCTTGTTGTAAACTATTTACAGTCTTTCATGTTCGCTGTTTATTCAGGTCGTGATTACTTGTTTCGACAAGATAACGCAACCTGCCA